TATATTGGTTTCACCTTTTGAGTTGCCTTACTGACATAAATGAACATTTGCACGATATTCTCTTTTTCAAGTTTCACCTGTATGTGCAGGTTCTTCTCCTCCCTCTGGGACCAGTTCCAGTTGGTGTTTATGGGGGGAGAGATCCGGCCCACGGCCTCTACCTTGTGGGATGCTGCAGGGCTCAGTTCTCTCTCCTCTCCTGTTTAACATCTACATAAAGCCACTGAGTGAGGTCATCTGACAGCTTGGGGTGAGGCATCATGAGTAGTTTTATAAAGTAATTCAGCTATATATCTTGAGTGATGCTGTGGATGTCCTGGAGGATGCCTGGAGGCTGTGGGGGCCTGGATGGGGTGTAGCAGGCTTCAGCTCAATCCAAGCAAGACTGGGTGGGTTTGGGTGTCTGGACCTCCTGGTGCCAGGGACCTCCCATCTTTGATTCTGGATGGGGTGGCACTGCCTCAGACTGACTTGGGTCCTCCTGGGCTTGCAGCTCCTGCTTGAAGAGCAGGTGGCAGATGTGGCTAGGAAGGCCATTGCATACCTGAGGATCAGTTGTGCCCATTCCTGTACCACTTCTCATGGATGACTATGCCCTCATGACTTCCCATCTGGACTACTGCAACATGCTCCATATGAGGCTGACCTTGAAGAGCATTCAGAAACTTCAACTGGTGCAGAATGCAGTGGCATGGGTAATTAATAGTGCTGGTTGTTCTTTGCATGTAACACCACTACTTCATGAGCTGTGTTGGTCGTGACTGTACTTCCAGGTGCAATTCAAGGTGCTGGTTGTCACCTTTAAAACCCTTCATGGCTTGGGGCTGGGTTTCTTAAGGGACCATCTTTTCCTGGTTGTTTTTACCTATCCCATCCAGTCCTGCAGGATGAGCATGCTCCGAGTCCTGTTAGTTAAGGAATCCAGGTTGGCGGAGCCCAGAAGACAAGCTTTTTCTGCCGTAGTGCCCACTCTTTGGAACATTCTCCCTCCAGGATTAGGTTGGCCCTGACCTTCTTGCCTTTTGTAAGGCCCTAAAGACCTGGCTTGTGCTCGGGCTTGGGGCCCTGAGTGTGTGAAGGGACCTGTTTCCTGACTAAGTGGATGATGCCTTGTTGCTGCTGTGTATTTTAATTTTTTTTATATGTATTTGTTTTATTTTTATTATTGTTGCCCAAAGTTGTTGAGATGGGCAGCTATATAAATTGATTAAATAAATAAATAATCTTTCACTATTCATCATGGCTTTGCTCAGTTGAGACTTTCATTAGGTTACCAACCTTAGTCATACCCTTGCCACATGCAGCATTCCCTGCTCCTGATAGGGCAAAATACTCATCAGCTTTGCCACATATTGGTCAATATTTAATTATATATCAAAGCTTTGGAATTTGACTATTTATCAGGAATTGTGGTTGATTGAGCTTTGCAGGGGGCTGGCAAAAAGAATTGTTGGAAAAGTGGAAATTATTCCTGATGTCAAGGAATGGTTGTCAGAAATGTGTGATTTATTTGTTTTGAAAAAGGCAATATTCTTTACCAATCAAAGGATGCAGCAATATGTGTTACTATGGCAGTATGGCAGAGGTTCTGTGATAATTTACAGTAATATCTTGTATTGTTCATATTATAGTAGTGAATTCATTGGTAAACCAGTGGCTATTGATAAGTATAAAATACAGTGGTACTTCTAGTTACGAACGCCCCTCCTTACGAATTTTTCAAGATACGACCAGCTCCGGCCCCAAAAATTTACCTCGACATGTGAACTCCGCCTTGAGTTACGAACTGGATCTGCGGCCATTTTCCCTGCTGCCACGCGGTCGCCGCTTCCTGTGGGCGAGATCGCGGTAGCAAGGAGACGTTTGGTGAGGCTTGTGGT